GTTCAAGTGGTGTAGCCAAACTAATGATTCTGGTTTACGTAAGACTTTTTAAAAATTATCTTTCCCTCTTTTGATTTGTGATCCGACAGGATCTAAGCTCACCTCGGACAAGCAGTTCTGATTCGGATGCTCATGAACCCATGGACTTAGATGAACTGCATGAACAACGAGGTGGATGGTCTCGGGACCGTTCAACTATGGTTTCGATCGATGGTCTGCGTCAACAACGTGCAAATCATTCACAATCACAACCACCACCTACGTCCCTTCAGACATCACCTCCTCCCCCTCCTGTCCCCACTCCCAATCAACCGCCAGTAATCTCGACACAACGACAACCACCATACTCAAACTCCGACGGTGACTACCACGACAACCCAATGCTACCCATGGACCGATTTCTTAACCAACGCCCACTGCTTCAAAAACACAAGAAAAAGCTACAGTTGTTGCACGAAGCCCAACTCCTAATGGAGGATGCACAGAAACAACAGACCCAATGGGGTCCGTCCGCACAAACACATCATTCACCCATTCCCAATAGCCCCCAGTATCATTTGGCTCCCTCATCTCCCACAATGTCCATCGAACCATATCGACCTAGTCCGGTATCCCAACCTCTGAATCGCGGTTCGGAATCCAACATAGATTTCGGACAGTCCGAGGTCCCTGTGTCCTTCCGTCTTACTTCTGCTCAGGATCATCATCTTCATTATCCGCAAACCGGTTCCGTTTCTCGTTTGTACGATTCTGTTCGGAGACATAGTCCAATCCATTCCCCTGGCTCAAAGGCTACTCCACCCGAAGATTCAGATTCGAATCCCGGAAAACGGATCGTACTCAAGTTATCCCGTCTGGGTGCTGGGAATCAATTGACTGTTTCCAGCACACATCTGGATGACAGTATCTCGGCTGCAAAAGCTGAGCGACTCGAGCGTCGCCGGCGGAAAAAAGAGCGTCACGAACAAAAAATGCTGTTACTCAAGCAAAAACAACAACAGCAACAACTACTCCAACAAAACCAAGAACAGCCTCTAAGACCAGAGTCATTAGCGATGTCGGTAAGTCGCACTTCCTCTTCTCTATAGCGAATTTTCCGTACATGTTGGTTAGCGTATGCTTCGTACAGAATTCATCCATGTTTTCTAAGCGAACACTGTTCTTTAAGAAGTATTTTTTGATTAGTATGTAGTTACGAAACAACATCCATAGACATGGTTTTTTGACTCAACGAATGAAAAGGACTGAACACATTTGAGTGCTATTGGTTCATTTTTCCGGGTAACCTCGAACAACCATTTTACCAGAAACAATGCATTGCTGATTACTTTGCGGAAAACAGCCATTTAATCGGCAATTCAGAGTATGCGTGTGAATGAGAGTTATGTTCTCGTGCTGTTTGGTTATTCAGTCCTATTATGTAGGAGCGTTGGAGTTGACGGTCAACCTTATTGCGCAAAAAGTGATGGCGAACGAGTTTTTCATCGGTTTAAGCTATTCTGTGTTTGTTTCGGTTGCTATCTTCCGGTTACCTATTTGGTGGACCAACGAGGAATGAGTAAGTAGAAGTAAAACTCTGAAAGCAGTACCAAGACAAAGGTCTGGAGTGAAGACAATTACAATGTATGCAAAATGAGAGTGAATGGACAGTATAACCCTATCTAATGATTGATCTGATTGATCCCGAGGTTAGCAGCTAATCAGGGTTTTTCATTGCTTCATACCAGGTCTTGGTTTGACCCTCAATGACCTTCTCTTACGGATTTTCCAAGTCGATTACCATCCCATGCATTGAACATGGACCGGTGACCACACTCGATGGAGATCGTGCACTTGCTTTGGTGCTTGAAGGCGACTGACTGTCTAATAGTTTTCGCCTAGTCTCGACATGTCTTGTTCGGTTATTCTATCAGACTCGTAGAATGCAGCGTAGATAACAGTTCTCAAACATGGCTTCTGTCCTCTTCTCGGAGGGCAAAATCCCCTTACTACACCTCAGTACGGCAAATCGGAAGCCCTGCATCTCTCTGAATACTCCAGCGTGCACCGCTTAACGGGAAATTATTGCTCCCTCCCTATGCTTCATTAAACCACCGAGATTTGGTGGTTAAATCCTGACAATAGAACCAACCACCCAGAATACCTGACAGTGTTCACATAGATGAAGGTTAACAGTTTCAGTCTAGAGCTCAGCCTTGTCAGCAATTTATTTGTTTGGTATCACCTAGTCGGTTTGGGCTTGAAGGGTCAGCCAAATGAACACCAATATCTGAGTTAAATAAGGGTTATCTTTACGTTGGAAAAGTTTCAGTTTCAGTTTGAAAAGTGCTTCCCGTTTATTCGGTTTCTAGTCATACCGATTGACAACATATTAGAACAGTATTCTGGTTGACAGCTTTTCGCAATTCATTCCCCAGCACAGCCCTCAGTCCATCCGGGCAACCATGCGATGAAGTGATTCCGTGTTCCTTCAACCCACTGATTACCGAAGCCAAACCTTGGATCACTAAAAATAAAACTATGTTTGTCCAGACCCGTGATCACGGCTTCCAGAAATACCACTCATTTTAGACAAATTTCGCTGTAGTGCCGACTAGCCTAAGGTGCTTGATGTTTTTGGCGCGGTTGCCCGACTTTGTTCTCGACAACGCGCTCTTTTTGTTTGATTTCTCCGTTCGGTTGTTTCTGCAGTCCGGTTTGGTTTTTACAAACATTTACCGTGCACTTTCGTGCGCCCATTTTGGTTGGTCTTTTGGCCGCCCATTTGAATAAAAGAGCAGGGTGAAGAATGGAATGTTGAGAGAAGAGTCAAACGTAATATAGAGAATTCATATAGACTGCAGTTGCAAAATTATTGAGTAGATATACATGCGTGGTTAATGATTGTAAAAACTGAAACTGTGTGTTTACCCACCTCCTTTGGGCTTTAATTTCTGAACTCTGCGCATATATTGCGCGTTTTCCTTGCGCTAGCCGCTTCACTTCAGGGCTGATTTGATTTGCTGATTTACTCTTGTTTATTTGCCGTATTCAGTAATCTTCAGTTCGTTCCCGTGCAACGAAAGGAGACAATATTCACTGTGACATCCAGTCAGTTCAGATAGGTTTGTCAGAGTTAAGAAAATGGACCGAGTAACTGCCATCGTGCACCCTATTTGCACGTGTTGGACTGAACCGATAACACTCTAAGTAGGGCACTTCGTCTCGTGGCACTGGGTGATGAAGAAATCGACAGAAGTATTCTTTTATCAAAGATCTTTTCTGTTTGGGAGATAAAAGGTGTCTCTGACAGGGCATGACTTTTGCCACTGTAGTTTAAAAAACTGAAGGTCAAAATCGCGTGTGCCAAGAGCAAAAGACCTTACCTTTTTGCAGTACTTTTTATTCCATGCCTCGCACATTCACATCTGATATTTTTATAACAAGCCTTCTTTCATTTTATATTCGTCTCGGTCATAGTACCAAATAGATCTAGGTATCTCCTCGATTTCATCTATTGTGAATCGACTTTGGCCTATTTGTCTCCTTTCATGCTGATGTCTGCAGCGTGATTGAAGTTCATTCCTCAGCCTTCCTTAGCTGGAGCTCACAGCTTAAGTCTCATAGCACAAGGAGAAAACAAATGTTAGGAGATACACTCAGTTCATTGAATTACCTCAGTTACTGGTGCAAAACATGTTTTATCTTTCACACAGAATCGGAAAACTGGAGTGTCCATCTCTGTTTGTTGGGTGGCCAAGGCTGGCCAATGTTAAAGATTTGTTGCTTGTACTAACACAGAACCGGTCTGCGTTGTAATCGAAATTGTTTCATAAATTACTAACCGTGGCGGTTTTCGATTACCTAACACGTAATGGTTGGATCAAACCAAGGCGATCTACCGTGATGGTGAGGAAGCCAGGTTGTGTTTTCGTCTTCGTTGTTTAGTTTTGTAGCCTCATCCAGTTCATCAGTCACTCCAGCATGTGCTCTGCCAGGCATTGGAGCGTTCCGCTTGTTACAGTAGCTGCAAAGAAACCGACAAATATCAATTCATGCCTTTAGATCAAAATCGTTTAGGAAGTTGTGATCCTTGTACGATCTGCACTAACCGTAAATTTGTTATCAACATTCAAGTTATTTGTTGTTTGCTCTTGTTTTTTATGCATTCGATCAACTATGTTGCTGTTGTATATGCACATCTTTCCCGAAATACTTTTTGCTACCCACCGTCGTGATTCTGCTCCCTATTAATAACGACAGCAACCAAAACCGGCGCACGAAAGTGCATGGTTAATGGATGTTCAAACTGAAACTGAATTAATAACGACAGCCGATATTTTTGTAAACCTGGTAACTATTTAATATTTGTTTAACTGGCTAATACAATTTTTTGTGTATTTTCAGAATATCATACGAACACCGACGAGTAGTGAACACGTTGAAGAGGAACGTAGCATGACGCGGCTCGATACAACTTCCAGCACGCTCAGCATGCAACAGCAGCACTCACGTCACCACCACCATCACCATCATCACTACCATACGCAATCACTTCATCGTAGCCACACCGATACAATACCAGATGGGTCACTTGCAAATACCACAAGTGACATATCCTCGCTCTCTCCGCGTAAATCGACAAAACTCAAACGTCACAAGCGATCCAAATCTAGCCGAGATCGTGTGGAACCGCCTCCCGCGCCACCGCAACCACCACCAACACATGGGTCTGAATTCTCTCAACCATTGGGAGCGCATGTTTCCTATAGAGAAGATCGTTCAGATTCCATACAGCCTAATGTTCCAACTCATCGTTCCGAACCGCAACGGCATGTGCGGATCCGAAATCTTCTGGACACCGATCCATTGGATCACTATGAAGAAGGTAATGAGAATCACACGAATGTATCCAGTCGTCATATTGACGAAGAAAGTATGCCAGACGCTGTTGCCGGGACTCGTAGCTCGGGACCATCCAACCGATATGCGGATCATTCGCATTTGTTGCTGGAACAAGATGAACATGAATTGGACGATGTTCTTCCACGCAGTCTATTCTCACAATGCCACGATTCGACCAATCCGGACAGTCCGTTTGTAGATATGTTTGGTGAGGAGACACAAATGCAGTCGGATGCGTCGATGCAATCGTCGGATGATGGACCAGGGAGCAATTTACCCTCTCGTCCACGCACCACCAATCCTGCCGCCTTGTTTGATTCTGATGCTGATTCCGATGATCGTGACACCGACAAATCAAAGACCCATGATAAATCTGTGACCGTGCCGGCGCCCGCACTAGATCCGAAACCTAGCGGGGATGTGAGTCGTGGAATACGAGTGAGCAACAAATTGCCAGAGCCTAAAACGTCTTCCCGTGGGCAGCCACAACCTGACCCGGAATCGAATGGGACTAAGAAGAATGCTGGATCTTCCGGTAAATTCAGCTCTATGACTTCAAAGGATCGTATGAAGGATGAAAGTGAACAAGGTGGTAAATCCGTTGGAACGGTGAGTTAAATTTTCTTCATATACCCGAGTAGTGTCCGGCACCACGAGAAGAAGTGGTTTATTCGGCAGGTCTAGAAAATGTCATCCGATGACTTGAACGCTGTTGTTCCCATCTATGGTCCGAAAATGGCACCAATTGATCGCGTTTGTCATATGCGTCATATTGAGCAAGACTAGAGTTCATTTGGTGTTCGAACAAACGTTAGTTTCATGACACATGGTTAGTTTGATTATTCTGTCACAGTATTCATGGGTTTGTACTCCGCCCATTCTCCCTCTCGCTTCGCTTTCCACTGATGCTTATCACCCAAACTGTAATATTACTGAGACAGTATTGTTGTATCACACACTCTTATTTGATTAACGGTTGAGAGTATAGCAAATAGCCACAAAAAGGTTTCCTCAGCAGAGGTTATTTGAGACGCTTGGTCGTATTGAAACATTTCGCTTGTGGCAAGAGAACAGTGACCACTCAACCCGGAAAGAACGCCCCCGACCTTACTGCGGCTTTCGGAGCTACGGCTTCAAATTATGCCACCTAGAGCTATGAGCAATAAAAGAGACGATGTTTGTGGTCTCTGTGATCGTTTGTATTAAGCAGAAACCCATGATCTGAAACCTGAAGCAACGAACCACGTGATTTTTTGTCCTTTCTGTGAAATGGATACTGTTCAAAGGATTTCAAATACACCCTCTGACTCGCTTATCTGATACTTAAGATGCTACCATGTACTTTGCGAAAGATAGCTACCGAAGCGGCTTTTATGGCTTTCACTCGAAATTCCAAGTTCAACTTATCCGGATTCTTCTGACATTAGCTTGATTCCCGATCAAAAGCCACACAAAAATCGGATGAAAGATTAGAGTTTTTTTTCTCTGTAGCTTTTCAAACGCGCACAGATTTGTGGCTGTTCCAGACTGGAGAAATCCACATGGAGGTCAGCAGATGACGTGGAGACGAGGCATGAAGAAATGCACAGAGCGATTAGGTGAAGCAGGTGTCTCTCGTCTCCGGGGTTGGGGTCCAAAAGACTC